CAAAACACGATAACTGGGTGCCTCGTGGGCCCAGGCTAGACCAGCAAGGAATCTTGGAGTAGCAGTGGGCCGCAGAAGGACGGCGCATAGGCCCACTGACATGTAGACACCTCCTGGCGCCTACCAAACACTGTCCCAGTGCCTTGCGGATTAACCTTGGTAGGTATAAAGCTACAGGAGTAAACCCCGAACGAAAAATCTGTGGTGGAGCCCCGCACCAGGTAGACTTGCTTACAGAGCTCCAACAAGACCCCAAACGGCGGAATAGGCGGAAGAGGTGACCAACATGGGAACCCAACGACTACATCGACGGAAGAAAGCAATGCATGATGGACAGGCTACTAAGACGAAACCCAACAAACTGGACTATCGGCAGTCCATTGCAACTCTCCCTCTCCCCGGTCGTTGCAGCAATTGCACCACTGGATCAGGAAAAGGAAGAGCCAAGATGTGTGATTGTGTTTTCGACTGCATAGGGATGACCTTACTGGGTGCGGTTGCCCAGTCAGGTTGGGTTTTTAGGCAGACTATGTTTAGGGCACCTTTTCTAGCCCCCTCCCCATGTGGGGTGAGCAGAGTGGCTCTTTGGAAGGGCTGCGCAGTCGCACAGACAGGACCGGATTGCACTGCTGCATAGATCCCAGTGCATAAACAACCATCTTATCTGTGCCGCCTATGTGCAGTGTGACTAGAGGCTCCCGGCAGTCATCTCCGCCTGTCCCCGTCGCCACTCGTCCGTCGTCATATGACTTTTGGGGGGTATAGGGGTTTTGATGATAATGAGAGGTATGATGAGCTGGGTGATGGCTGTGCGTGAGTTGATTTATGTGGTGAAGAAGGAGCGCAGGCAGCAACCACACATCTTGGCTCTCCCTTTTCCTGATCCAGTGGTGCAAGTGTTGTAACGACTGGGGAGAGGGAGAGTTGCAATGGATTGCCGATAGCCCAGTTTTTTTGGGTTTCGCCGAAGTAGCCTGTCCATCATGCATTGCCTTCGTCCGCCGATGTAGTCGTTGGGTTTCTATGATGGTCACCTCTTCCGCCTACACCGCCATTGGGGTCTTGTTGGAGCTCTGTAAAGATGTCTGCCTGATGCGGGGCTCCACCGCTGATTTTTCGTTCGGGTTTTACCCCCGTAGCCTTATCCTGCCAAGGTTAATCCGCAAGGCATCGGGGCGGTGGTTGGTAGGCGCCAGGATGTGTCCACATGCCAGTGGGCCTATGCGCCGTCCCTCTGGAGCCCACTGCTACTCCGAGATCCTCTGCTGACCTAGCCTGGGTCCACGAGGCACCCAGTTACCGTGTGTTGCCACGAGGAGGCACAACAGGAGTCTTGATGGTGAGGAGGCTGTGTACTGGCAGGGGAAGTCTTATGAAAGTTGCTTCCTTGCTCGCCACGAGGACTAGCCAGCTGCGGCAGCTGAAAGCAAGGGGGAGCAAATCAGTGCTTGCGCTTTAACACTAACCTAATGCTGACACACATACATAGTATACAAACACACACACACACACACACACACACACACACACATACAGAGCTACTAAACAAACATACGTATATATACACAGGACGGTAAAGAGGGAGAGAACCAATAACATAACAAAGCATATTGTTTCATCAGGGAGGGAGGGAGGGAGAGAGAGTTTGGAAGACGTGGTGATAGGGAAGGACAGAGGAGGGATAGAGAGAGGGTAGGGAGGCTTAGTGAGTTAGAAGTCCTGGTGAGAGGGGAAAAGGTAGGGTAGAGACACGTAGTTGTATGGAAGGAGGAAGGGTAAAGAGACGTAGTGAAGGTACAAATGGTGTCCCACGTAACAACGGTACAATTAGATATTCCAGAATAAGATAACTGTACCACTGTGTTTCATCCGCCATTGTCCCGTTTTGTTAGTAAGTGTGTATGTGTGTCCATGAATGTCGTGTATTTGCCCCCACTAAACAATCAAGAAACAAGGCATACACTCCTCAAAGATACCTGACCCTCAAGAGCTCATTAAGTGTATCCCAAGACCCATCTGTAGTGAGTCTTGCGAGAGATTTGATGTTATTGACGCAGGTAATAAGTAGTCGGCAGCTATCAAACAGGGAGGTACTACCGCCTGGGAAGATATTGGAAGCATAATGTGTTGTCTAATGGTAGACCCTGCTGCCATATGGCATCACAAAAATTGTGACCAAGTCCCAGGTTGCTGATCTGACTTTCTGCCTCATTTACACACTATTGCAGGGTCTCAACTGTTTCTCTTACTTGGACAACACAACATACATAATGTATATCGTTTCTCATTCTTGATTTATTTTTTTTCGTTTTTGTATTATTATTATTATTATTATTATTATTATTATTATTATTATTATTATTATTATTATTATTATTATTATTATTATTATTATTATTATTATTATTATTATTATTATCATTATTATTATTATTATTATTATTAATATTATTATTATTATATTTTCGCCCCCAGGCCGTGATGTGGGTCAGTGATCTGTGCCCGGGTGGGCTAATCCTGTAAAAAAAAAGTATGCAAAAATTATCCACTTAAATAGAGAGAAAGGGAGAGTAAAATGGACAGAGAAACAGAAACAGTGAGAAACCCAGAGACAACAGACAGAAACAGAGAGAGAAAAACAGAGGAAGAGATAACCCGACAGAGATATACAGACAGATAGAGACAGAGAAACAGAAAGAGAGAAGGAAAGATAGAGAATACAGTGAGAAATAGAGACAGAGAAAAAGAAAGCGTCGAGTGAAATCCTCGCCAGCGGACATTGACCCCCTCAAAAAATCTGACCCAAATCTATTCAAACTTCACCAAATTTTTAACCATTTAACGAAGTGTGGTCCAGAAAGGTAAACAAAAAATTTATAGATTCTGAACACATAAGTCGGGTGTCTCATTAACAACAATCACGTTTGTTTTTACGATAAATTCTTAATACTTATTCAGATATAAGAACCTATTTAATCTGGTAGTTGATCCTGTGTTCACTGTTTTTTTGTGCGTTATCTTTATTTCCGGTTCATTAATATCTCTGTGTTAATGTGTTACGAAAGAGGTTTATGTGTATATGTTTTACTGTTTTATTTCATGTTATTATTATTACTCGATGAAAATTTACCTATAATAATAATAATAATAATAATAATAATAATAATAATAATAATAATAATAATAATAATAATAATAATAATAATAATAATAATAATAATAATAATAATAATAATAATAATAATAATAAAAATAATAATAATAATAATAATAATAATAATAATAATAATAATAAAATAATAATAATAATAATATGTAATAATAATAATAATAATAATAATAATAATAATAATAATAATAATAATAATAATAATAATAATAATAATAATAATAATAATAAATCTCCGAATATGTCCCTCCAGTAGAACACTTTAGATCAGGGAGGACACACACACACACACGACCACCCACCTCGCGCTGCCCTACTATCACTACTACTACAATTAAAAATAATAATATTAATATTATTATTATTATTATTATTATTATTATTTTTTATTATTATTATTAATATTATTATTATTATTATTATAATTATTATTATTATTATTATTATTATTATTATTATTATTATTATTTTTAACAACAACACGAAGGAAGAGAGAAAAGGAAGGGGGAGAGGGGGATAGGTAGAGACGAAGTGAGGGAGGGAGGGAGGGAGGAAGGAAAGGAAAGTGAGGAGAAAGGGTGTGATCGGGTATTGAGGGAAAGAATAAACCCGACAGACAACAACGGTTTTAAAACACAAACACACACCACTTTATGACCTTCGTTGTTGAACCGCAGTAATAACATTATAACAACAGCAGCAACAACTATCACCCACGGCAACTTTGGTACGAGTGTAGGTTCCAGCACAACAACGGAATGCTACAATTATTTTATTTATTTGTTGTTGTTGTTGTTGTTGTTTGCTCTTTTTCGTGTTGTTGCCTGTTACTGTATTGTTGCTGTGTGTGTGTGTGTGTTGGGGGGGGGGTTCAAAACACACACACTTACCCTCCAGCTGGCAGCCATAACCTGGGTCTTACAGTGTCTAATTAAGCACCTTATTTAAACCTGACACCAGGCCTAAACATTACTCCTCTGAGATGAATCTTATTATCTCTCTCTCTCTCTCTCTCTCTCTCTCTCTCTCTCTCTCTCTCTCTCTCTCTCTCTCTCTCTCTCTCTCTCTCTTTATCTACCTACCCATTCAATGACTATCGTTCGTTTATTCACCCAATATATATTTACCAACATACACTCACTTTACTTCGCTCACAAATATCCCAAACTTAATAACCCCATTCCCCTTTTTTTATGTCCGAAATATGACGAAATCTTCAAGACAATTTGGCTCTGGGGATCGTCTTCAAGCTCGTTCCTGATTGGTCGGCATCAGTAGAGACGTTCGCCACCTCCTCTCCGTCTCAGCAGCACGTTTTGGTGATCAAGTTAGTTGATTATGTCATCGACGCCTCAATATGGAGTCACTTGAGCAGAGGAAAATGGTAGAGCCTGGTCTTTGTGGGTCTCAGTGAGGTTGTCTATGTTGTTTATGGTCTTGGAACAATAGTCTCTGGTGGGTTCTGTCTTGGTACAATGGTCTCTTGTGGTTTCTGTCTTGGTACATTGGTCTCTGGTAGTTCCTGTCTTGGTACAATGGTCTCTGATGGTTTCTGTCTTGATACAATGGTCTCTGGTGGTTTCTGTCTTGGTACAATGGTCTCTTGTGGTTTCTGTCTTGGTACATTGGTCTCTGGTGGTTTCTCTCTTGTTACAATGGTCTCTGGTGGTTCCTGTCTTGGTACAATGGTCTCTTGTGGTTTCTGTCATGGTACAATGGTCTCTGGTGGTTTCTCTCTTGTTACAATGGTCTCTTGTGGTTTCTGTCTTGGTACATTGGTCTCTGGTAGTTCCTGTCTTGGTACAATGGTCTCTGATGGTTTCTGTCTTGTCTAATGGTCTCTTGTGGGTTCTGTCTTGGTACAATGGTCTCTGATGGTTTCTGTCTTGATACAATGGTCTCTGGTGGTTTCTACCTTGATACAATGGTCTCTTGTGGAGTTCTGTCTTGGTACAATGGTCTCTGATGGTTTCTGTCTTGGTACAATGGTCTCTGGTGGTTTCTCTCTTGGTACAATGGTCTCTGGTGGTTCCTGTCTTGGTACAATGGTCTCTGATGGTTTCTGTCTTGGTACAATGGTCTCTGATGGTTTCTGTCTTGGTACAATGGTCTCTGGTGGTTTCTCTCTTGGTACAATGGTCTCTGGTGGTTTCTCTCTTGGTACAATGGTCTCTGGTGGTCTTAGTACAATAACTTTAAGTAGTTTGAGAGACAAGTTATTTTCTTCGTTCAATGTTTTCTTCAGAACGAAAAAAGAAGGAGGTGTGTGTCATGAAGTATGTCTGTCTGTCTGTCTGTCTCTTTATCTCTGTCCCTCTACATCTGTGTCTTTGTGTATGTATCTGTGTTTTTATGTTTGTCTCTGTGTATGTTTTTGTGACTGTGTATGTGTCTCTTTGTTTATGACTGTGTATGTGTTTCTTTGTTTATGACTGTGTATGTGTCTCTGTGTTTGTGACTGTGTATGTGTCTCTTTGTTTATGACTGCGTATGTGTCTCTTTGTTTATGATTGTGTATGTGTCTCTGTGTTTGTGACTATGTATGTGTCTCTGTTTATGTGTCTTTATCTCTATGTCTCTGTGTAATAACCTCCTATCTTTCCCCCTCAAGGTCTTTGTTGACACACAGATGGTAGACTGTGCCAAGACGCTTTTCTCTGTTCCTTTTTCACAGTTGTTCTCTTGCTATAAGTTGTTACACACGTCGTCATAAAACTGGTGAAGGGAAGCAGGTCTTGTGTACGTTGTTCGTTGTCTCGTGTCCGTGGTTTAAGAGAAGTGTTGAAGACCCGTGTACGTATTTCTGACCTATTGAGTGACTGAACCAGAGTCTAACTGGCCTAGGGGCTACGGACGCACGGGCTACTGACCCAGGGGCTGACTGACGCTCTCTTAAGAGTTAGGGAAGTCACTAGCCCGGCATCAAGCCTACGGAACCCACTTACACTTAGCATACACAAGGGGGAGAATAATTACAGATGGAGAGACAAACAAACAGAAAGAGAGAGAGACAAGCACAAAGCCATACAGATTGAACTCACTAAATGCCTCCTCCTCTCAGATGACGAAGAGGACGATAGAGAAAGAAAAGGATAATAAAGACGCAAGTATTTTAGGTGAAGACTTGGGGCCCTAGACTCTCCTGGCTAGAGGGAGCGGGACTTAAAATAAACCGAGAAAAAGAAATGGCAGGAATTACAATAAAGGTAAATAACCGACGACTGGAAGAAGAAAAGAGATAGAGAGATAGGGGGATAGAAACAGAGATAGAGAGACAGAGAGAGAGAGAGAGAGCAGGCGAGAATTGTGCCAAGGTAAGAGCATAAGGTAAGGAGGTAATCTTAGAAGAACGTGAAAAAGAAATGTTGAATTGTCTTTCTCGTTCTGGGGAGATTTGGGAGGGGGAGGGAAAATGTTGGAGGTATTGTGAGAGTATGTGAGAGTGTTTGAGAGTGTGTGAGAGTGTGTGAGAGTGTGTGAGAGTGTGTGAGAGTGTGTGAGTGTGTGAGAGTGTGTGAGAGTGTGTGAGTGTGTGAGAGTGTGTGAGAGTGTGTGAGTGTGTGAGAGTGTGAGAGTATTTGAGAGTGTGTGAGAGTGTGAGGGAGTATGTGATTGTGAATAAGAGTGTGTAAAGGCGCTTGGGAGAGTTTAAATCCGTATTAGAAAAATGTAAGAGTGTGTGAACTTGTTTTAAAAGAGTGTGAGAGTGGTTAAGTGTTTAATAGTGCGTAAGGGTGTTTGAGAGTGTATAAGTTCGTGGGAGAAAAGTGTGAGAGCTTGAGTAAAGACTGTAGAGGGTAGAGTGTAGGAGTGAAGACTAACACGAGCAAACAACTCAATGAATGATAACCAAATGGCAGGAATTTCTCTCAGTGGTTTGGTATGGATAGCCCCTTAGTGGTACCATAGTGGGTTCTTTTACGATTCAACCCACTGTGTCACCTACATGGGCCTGGCAGCATCACATTCCACACACACAGGGTAGGATAATTAACCCATGGCGTCACACATCACACACACACAACCCTCCGTTAATCCACCTCCATCTTCTAAAACTGTAAACACAATATTGTCATCAATATTATATTATTACTACCACACAACACTACTCCTCAATCACGTACTTAACACTGCCCCTTTCCTTGATAATTTGCCAAATATTTATATAAAGTGTTGTGCATAATGGAGCACTCGGAGCCTCAACCTGGATGATGTTGGTGGTGATGTTTCTCTCTCTCTCTAAAAATCTCACCATACATATCAAAGAGAGACAGAGAAATTCATATTTTTTTTTTCTGTCAACTTTGTATCTCATTCTTGCCCCCGTTGTTTATATAAAATAAATCTATATTCCAGCATATATGAGTTGTTTATAAAGTACACACATAACAAAACAGTAACTAACATGTACATACAGCCCGGATTATTTACTCTATTAACCTGGTTTACTCGATGCCTTATAAAATTCTTCTTAACACTCAAGTTTACCTTTGAGTTAAGACAATAAACGACAGACTCTTCAGCTATATTTGGGTTACGATACTCATAGCTCTATGGAGAAGATTTATTACGACTACTAAGCGATCCTGTATGTAGTGAGGGTTTTTTTATATTATTTCATTCAGCATCTCTTTTGTTTCATGGTTATTTGGGCTTTTATTTTTACACCATTCATTTATTTTCCGGTTTTTTTCGTTGTTTTTATCACCGGAATATAAACAAAATATATAAATTTAAAAGACGGGTTTCGTATTTTAATGCATTCCGATTCTCTCTCTGTTCATAAACTACTAAAAAATATTTTAATTTATACAAAAAACAAAGAAGCATCAACAAAAGCGCTGTGTCTAATATTTTAATACGTTCGGAATTCCCAGAACAATGTTTACTCCGTTTATTGCTCTCGTGACAAAACAATGAGCATCGTTGTGTCTCTTTTAAAACACTCAAATTGCTATTTTTTTTTTTTAAGGATTGAGTTTAACTTGTGGTTGGTCATTTGGCGTCCATTACATCACAGAGAAGAGAATGCAAGGGACGGACGGCAGAGGAGGAGGAGGAAGCGGAGGAGGAAGAGGAAGAGGAGGAGGAGGAGGAAGCGGAAGAGGAAGTGGAGGAGGAGAAGGGGGAGAAGACGCCCTACTCCCAGAACAGACGACAGGAAAAGAAAATTGTCCACACGAAAGAGATATACGACAGATAATTACGCCCTGAGGAGGACATCAAGAGGGAAATTTCCCTCGTGGAAAGGGAGATATTAAGAGAGAGAGGAAAAAAAAGTTCCCGACGCACTCATTTGACGGGATAATCAGGTGGCATGCCATTGTTGGTGGGGAAATTAAGATGATATCTCCGTCAGGGGAACTTAAAATGGGGATGTGTGTGAAGCTCAAGTGTTTATACCTGACTCGGGCTAAAAGGATTACTATGATGAGGTCAGGAATACCGAGTGTTGATTCTTTTATTCTCTATTTTCCTGTAATAACAATAATAATAATAATAATAATAATAATAATAATAATAATAATAATAATAATAATAATAATAATAATAATGGTGGTGGTGGTAAATAATAATAATATCATTACTACTAATAATAGATTATTCATCTCTCTCTCTTTTATTCCACCCCTCGACATGAAGTACCTACCATATGCTTTACCACCATCAAATAGAAGTCACCGTCACCCTATCCTAACAAGATACAAACACCAGCTGTCGCGTCTATAAAGTGACCCCAAAGCATCGTTCTTGTTCCCAGTATCCGGATTCTCGGCTGTATTTCGCAAACATAAACAAATCCACTGTCCGTGTCTTGAATCGAAAGTAAATAAAGGTGGTAAAGAAAGTCTAGGTGAACTTTCCATTTATTATGTAAGTACTGTAAGTAGATCAGTTTTTTTAAGTAATGTAAGTGAAGGAAGGAAGTAGCATTGCCTTTATAAGTGTTGGAGTAAAGTGACTAAAGGTGTAAGCCGATTTAAGTAAAACAGGTTAAACAAGAGACTACTAACCTTTTCAATTATAAGTAAAGGGACACAAGAAAGTTAACTAAATATATTTGTAAGTAAATCAAGAAGGAGAGGATAATAACTCTTTCTATAATAAGTAAAACAAGAAAGGCAAGAAGCTCACCCATTCACTAATAAGTAAAGCAAGATGAGAAAGCAAATAACCCATTTTCTCTCAATTAAAATAAAGAGAGAAAGAAGGCGATTCGACCTTTCTATTGCAAGTAGGATAAAGAGAACAAATGAGCATCTCTCTCTCTCTCTCTCTCTCTCTCTCTCTCTCTCTCTCTCTCTCTCAGACTAACGATAGAGGCCACACATCCAAAAAAAAAAGAAGAGACGCCATCCGCCATGATCCGGGACCTCCCTAGAGTGCAATCGACATGTTATTCTTGTTGTTGTGTCGCTTTTCCCCGGAGAGCTACATAAGAGTGCAACGTCCCATAGTCTCTCTCTCTCTCTCTCTCTCTCTCTCTCTCTCTCTCTCTCTCTCTCTCTCTCTTTCTCTCTGTTATTGGTTTGTTGAGCATATATTGGAAAAAGTTTATATTTCTTTCTTTGGTTCTAGGAAAAGTCATCTACATTTTAGGTTACTCTCTCTCTCTCTCTCTCTCAATCCAATTCGGCAAGAAAAGTCAATTATCCCCTAAGGCAATAAACAAGCCAAGAGCGTCCATGTTGAAGTCCCAACCACAATGTATACAAAACACACACACACACACACACACACACACACACGTGGACTGTCATCGTATACCTGAATGGAATAACCAGGAATGCTCTCAGACATAACTATTCAGAATAAAAAGTCAATTTATTTCTTATATAAGTGTCCTGAATATAGCCAGTGGCCTTTAGTGCACTGTGACGTGAAGGCTGCTCTGGGTGTTTCCTTAGAGGCCGTAATAATAATTATAATAATAATAATAATAATAATAATAAAAATAATAATAATAATAATAATAATAATAATAATAATAATAATAATAATAATAATAATAATAATAATAATAATAATAACAAAAAACAATAAAAAATAACGATAATAACAATAACAATCAACAAAAACAAACAACAATAACAATACCTAGACGAAAATAAATAAAATAAACATCTAAAATATAAAACACAATTATAATGCATAGTAATTAAATTATTCACTCTAATAACACGTTGTACACCTGGAATTATGAAGTAATACAATGACAGGTAGAATATTACCTTGTTGAGGACACGGGGTCTATATTATGGGAGGTAATATTTATCTCTTGTGTATTAACGTTATTGTATTTCTGGTAGAGCAGTGGAGGGATAATGTTATTGTGTGTGTGTGTGTGTGTGTGTGTGTGTAAAGAGGTTAGGGGTACGATAGCATGTGTGAGTAGCCATGGATGTGTAAATGTAGGTGAGTGACAAGAGATGTGTATGTTTAGAGGGAAATATATCTTAGTGAATTTGTCTGTTTCTTTACAACGTATGTGAAAGGGACAGAGAAAAACAGAGAAACTTACAGACAGACAGACAGACAGAGAAGATATCAGAAAATCAATAAAATTTAAATGTTTTGGTTAAAAATAATAATTTTTTCTCACATGCAGGACTTGAGGTTAGTCACCCTGGTAGGCACAGCAGGCTGGCTGGCTGGCAGGCACGTTGACAGTTCAATACCCGCTTCGGTACAGGTTCAGTTGGTTTTGTTTAGTCAATACTCGTTCTATTATTGGTTAACAATGGCTTGATGGAGAGCCAGCTTTCTGCCCCGTCATTGGTCCTCCAGGAAGATATGAAGATCCAATACGACCGTTGTAATTGGTCGAGAATGACTTTATGGAGAGATATTACCTGTTGTGTTATTGGTGCGTCTGAGAGATTTGTTGTGTGTGTGTGTGTGTGTGTGTGTGTGTGTAAGACATCCAAAGTTTTTTAACATCTCAATATTCTCTCTCTCTCTCTCTCTCTCTCTCTCTCTCCCACTTAGGAAACTTTCCCTTTAGATCCAAACACCCACTGATATACACTCTTTCCTCCCCATTAAGTTAGAAATTTCACCTTAAGTCCCAAACACCCATTGAAAGTCGTTCCCTTTCTCTCTCCCATTTAAGAAACTTTCACCACAGTTCCAGTACACCCCAATGGGATCTTCCTTCTCAGTGGAACTTAACCTGGGATCTTCCTTCTCAGTGGAACTTAACTTGGGATCTTCCTTCTCAGTGGAACTTAACTTGGGATCTTCCTTCTCAGTGGAACTTAACTTGGGATCTTCCTTCTCAGTGGAACTTAACTTGGGATCTTCCTTCTCAGTGCAACTTAACTTTCCCAGCATTTCCAGCGGCTGTAATACGGTACAGACTAGACATAAACTTGCCCCCACAAGTTGTATCTAGCCCGTGATAGTCTGGTCCAGGAGAGGGAGGGAGGTAGGGAGGGGAGGAAAGAAAGAAGGAGAGGGAGGGTAAAAAGGGAGGAAAAAGGAGGAGGAAAGGGAGAAAGAGGGAAGAATGGAAGATTTAGGGGAGAGGAAAAGGGGGAGGAAAGAGGAAAAACGGAAACGAGAGAGGGGAGTAAAAGAGGGGAGGGAGGTTGGAAGAGGGGAAAAGAAGGAAGAGGGAGGAATGGAAGGATCTAGGAGAGAAAAAAGAGGGAAGAAGGGAGGGACAGAGAGAGAGAGGGAGGAAAGGAGGGAGGAAAAGAGGGAAAAGGGAGGAGTGGAAGGATCTAGGGTAGAGGAAAGGAGGGAGGTAGAAAGGGAGTGGTATGAAGAAAGGGAGGAAAGGAAAGGTAGGGAGTGAAGGAAAGAAGAAAAAAGAGGGAGAGGCAGGGATAGACGAGCCTAGGGAGAGGAAAGGATGAAAGAAGTGAGGGCGAGAGAGGGGGAAAGGGAAGGAGAGGGGGGAAAGGATCTAAGGAAGAGAAGGGCGGGAAGAAAGACAGGGAGAGAGAGGATTGGAAGGATCTAGAGGGGAGAAAAAGAAGGTATGAGGAAGGGGAGGGAAGAATAGAAGGGAGAAGGCAGAAAGCGCTAGAAGGAAGAATCTATAGGGAGAGGAAAGGGAGGGAAAGGGAGGTATCTAGTTGGAGAGGAGGAAAACAGGAAAGGGACAAATACGAAAGAGTGGTAAAGGGAGGGAAAGAGGAATCTAGAAGGAGGAAGACTAGAAGGTAGAAAGGGAGAATAATGAAAAGGAAGGGAAAGGAAGGGAAATTTGAAAGAAAAGATTGGAGGAAGTAGTGAGTGAGTGGGTAGCAAGGAGATGCAAGGATGGAAGGAGAGGCGGAAGGGTAGAAGGGAGACGGGAAGGAAGGGGAAAGGGAGGAAGGGAGAAAGGGGGGAACTCAGCGATGGTGAATTAGTTTGATATTGACTTAGTATGTATACTGAGAGAGTCTCGAGCCTGTGAGAGAAAGAGGGGAGAGAGAGAAGGAATGGAAGTGTTGAGAGAAAGGAGGAGGGGAATGGGAGGGAGGGATGAAGAGAGGGCAGGGAGGGAAGTGTTGAGAAGGGTAGGAGGGAGAGAGAGGGGGAGGGAAGTGTAGACAGAAGGAAGGAGAGAGGCAGGAAGGGAGGGGGGGGGAAGGAGGGCAAGGAAGTGTTGAGAAGAAGAGGATGGTGAAGAAAGGAAGAGGGAAGAGGAAGAGAAGGAGGAAGGGAGACAGCAAGGGAGGACAGAGAAAGAAGTGACGAGGGAAAGGAAGGAAGGAAGGAAGGAACTGAAGAAGGAGAGAGGAAGGGAAGAAGCAGAGAGAGAGGGGAAGGGAAGGAGGAGAGAAGGGGGAGTAAATCCGATAGAGGTGGATTAGTTTGGTAATGGTGTAGTTCGCGGACTGTCTGGCAAGGGGGAGAAGTTAGGGTGGTAGGCAGTGCTTTATGTTGCCTGTATGTTGTATGTTGTATGAGAGCTGCCTGTCTGTACGATGCCTGTGTAGCAGTTTAAAGTACGAGTATGTTGCTTGAAACCAGTATGTTTGCCCGTTAGTATGTTGCTTGCTGGGGTGAGGGAGGGTGAGGGAGGGTTAGGAAGGGTGAGGGAGGGGTTGGAGGGTGAGGGAGGGTGAGGGAGGAAGGGGTGAGGGAGGGTGAGGGTGAGGGTGAGGGTAGGAAAGGTGAGGGAGAGAGGGAGGGTGAGGGAGTAGGGAGGGTGGGGAGGGTTAGGAAGGGTGAGGAGGGTGGGGGAGGGTGAGGAAGAGTGAGGGAGGGTGAGGAAGAGTGAGGGAGGGCGAGGAAGAGTGAGGGAGGGTGAGGAAAGGTGAAGAACAACCTGGTTACCAAAATAACCTACTGATCAGAACAACCTGGTGATCAGAACATCCTGGTGATCAAAACATCCTGGTGATCAGAACATCCTGGTGATCAAAACATCCTGGTGATCAGAACAACCTGGTGATCAGAACATCCTGGTGATCAGAACAAACTAGTGATCAGAACAACCTGGTGATCAGAACAAACTAGTGATCAGAACAACCTGGTGATCAGAACAAACTAGTGATCAGAACAACCTGGTGATCAGAACATCCTGGTGATCAGAACAAACTAGTGATCAGAACAACCTGGTGATCAGAACATCCTGGTGATCAGAACAACTCAGAACAACCTGGTGATCAGAGACATCTACCAGATGGATCAAGAACAAGTGATCAGAACAACCTGGTGATCAGAACATCCTGGGGATCAGAACAGCCTGGTGATCAGAACATCCTGGTGATCAGAACTGGTGATCAGAACATCCTGGTGATCAGAACAAACTAGTGATCAGAACAACCTGGTGATCAGAACAACCTGGTGATCAGAACAACCTGGTGATCAGAACATCCTGGTGATCAGAACAAACTAGTGATCAGAACAACCTGGTGATCAGAACAACCTGGTGATCAGAACAACCTGACGATCAGAACAACCTGACGATCAGAACAACCTGGTGATCAGAACAAACTGGTGATCAGAACAACCTGGTGATAAGAACATCCTGGTGATCAGAACATCCTGGTGATCAAAACAACCTGGTGATCAGAACAACCTGGCGATCAGAACAAGTTGGTGATCAAAATAAACTAAAATGGTGACCAGAGAACAAGCTGGTGATCAGAACAAGCTGGTGATCAGAGCAAGCTGGTGATCAGGAAGACCTTGTACCAAAGCTTACCCTGAGCCGTCAGCTTATAAACATGCCGCCCGTCGCCTTCGTTCACAATTACCCCGGTAGACTGACTACAGGGTTAAAGCTGCGTTACCTCCAGGCGCGGCAGGTGGCATGCTGGGTGTGTGTGTGTGTGTGTGTGTGTGTGTGTTAATACCATCTCCATATAACACCTATTAATTACATCAATTTTATTTTACATTTAGATGAAAATAAAAATAAATGATGCACAGATTCATGTCAGCAACCAGTTAAATGCAGACACAAGAAACGCAGCTCTAACGGCGTTGAAATTGTATAAATGAATTTCTACATGTACACACGAGGAGGGTTTTATATATATATATATATATATATATATATATATATATATATATATATATATATATATATATATATATATATATATATATATATATTGTGTTATTCCCACAAGCAATAACCATGTGTATCTATCATGGTCTTGTGTGTGTGTTACAGTACTTGAGTGATTGTTCTTGCTGTTGTTATGGTGAGGTACGAGTGAAATGGATATTACTTTATTCATCTCTCTCTCTCTCTCTCTCTCTCTCTCTCTCTCTCTCTCTCTCTCTCTCTCTCCTTAATGCCACAATAACCTCCCGCTCCCCTTCCCCCACAGTGCCACACAGACCCCCACCCCCACAGTGCCAAACAGACCTCACCCTTCCCCACAGTGCCATACAGATCTCCTCTTCCACAGTGCCAAACAGACCTCACCCTCCCCTCCAGTGCCACATCCCTGCAATGCCAAGATCATGCTCGCGGCACCTTCAATCCTAAGTGGTAATTAGGTCTTTGAGCCTGTTTACCTGTCTGCCTTTGATGTGAGGCACCTGCTTTAACTCGAGATTATTAACATATTTTTTTTACCTATAATACCTGGCGATTATACATAGTGTCTATTATCTATAACACCTGTTGATTAAACCGTTTTTCACCTATAACACCTGTTGATTACACCAGTTTTTACCTAAGCACAACTGTTAAATTATACTAAACGTTTCTCACCTGATTATTATAAAGGTTTTCTCCTATAAACTCTGTTGGTTATATGAGCATTTATCCCTATAACAGCTGTTGATTATACTAAACGGTTTTTTTATATATAACACCTAAAGATTCAATTAGACTCTTCTATAATTCCATTGTTTCTATATCTAAGTTTAATATATGAAAGTTATTTTGCAAGGGAGAGAGAGTTAAAACAGTTTTAAAGAGTAATTAAAGACAGACGTGAATATACAGAGATAAAGTTAAAGAAGAGACTATTGTTTCTACAGTATATCGAAAAGGATTCACTGTTTACTTGTTACACAAAACTAGTACCATTTGGTCTCCAGAGTCAGGTGTTAATTACCGTAAATATTGACTGTGGCTTCATGTGTGTGGAGTATCTCTCTCTCTCTCTCTCTCTCTCTCTCTCTCTCTCTCACACACACACACACACACACATATATATATATATATATATATATATATATATATATATATATATATATATATATATATATATATATATATATATGTATATATATATATATATATATATATATATATATATATATATATATATATATATATATATATATATATATATATATATATATATATATATATATATATATATATATATATATATATATATATATATATATATTTATTTATGTATTTATTTATTTATTTATTTGTCTGAGTCTTTCTCCCCCTCAACCTATGTATGTATGTCTTCAATTTCTCATAGTTTTTCTTTATTTTGTGTCTTTCGCTCAGTTTATATTTTAGTCAATCTCTTTCTATCTTTATCTACGTATCTGTACCCTTTTCCTCCTTCTCTCGTCTCCCTTTTTCTGTCTGTCTGTCTGTGTGTTTATCTTTCGTCCACTAGTTCTCTTCTTTTAGATAACATTAATAATACTTATTACAACATCATTATTGTTATAACACTTAGGAGAAAGACAGCATAACTAATAACACTGATAAGAACACTAAGGATGTTGATTGCAATATTAATTACACTATTGACATTGATTATAACATTAATAACCCCGATTATACAGCGAATTACACTGATTAGAACACAAACAACACAGAAAATAACAGAAATAACAGATTTGAACACATGCCACAGGTTAGAACACCAATAACACAGATTATAACTGAAATAAGAGAT